GGTGACTGCATTCAATTTCGATTTTTTCCAATTTATTTTTCACCGGTAGGCTCACCCGCTCTTATCTATGGAATTTTAGGGTACTTCGGCTATTCTCCCTTGAGTTTGCGTTAATGGCCGAAGGTGAAGTGGAAGTGCATGGCGTGCCATATACCGACCCAACGGCATTGTTCAAAATGAAATTTCTGTTCGGACATGCAACGATGGTCATTTTTGTTTGTTTGGTCCTCTAAGCTCTTTGAGCATCCGACCCGAGATGTTCATTGTAAAATCGCTGAATGAATAGGAGGTTCAAGAGGATGCGCTGACGGTTTTCATTTCACCTCTGAGCAATCTAGAAATCTGAAGTGATTTGGCGTCAAGGAAAACGGATAAGAGTACAACTGTGGGGTTGGTTTATTCGTTAGTGTTGGGCTCTTCGGATGATGTTATTTTGAACACCTAAATCTATCGGATGAAAAATTCATGAGATACCAATATACATATGCATACTATATGGGCATGGGCATTGGAATGCTTGCTAGTCTTCTCAATAGACCCTTCATTTCCAATCCCTAGGTCACAAAGGCAACAATCAAAATGAAAAATAAAATTCTCCAGTTATTATGGAGAAGGCTAGCCATGGAGCTCCTCACCTGAGAAATGGTGCGGAGCGGTTTAAACCAATGCAAATGAAGTTTTTGTCCATTTAAATATTTTTTCGAACGATTCCCAAGGAAGTGACCGGGGGATGATATTCGTAGTGTTATGGCGTGCCCATCCATTCCTTTTCAGTGAGTATTTCAACTGATACAATAGGATGGGAAGAAAGAGTGGACAATACCAGGTCGCCAAGCTGTCACTCAAATTTGCACGTGCTCGAAAAGAAGGAGAAGAAATGTTTGAGTTTGAAGACTTGCCTCGTAAGTATATCACCAAAATGAGTAATGGAATTCGCATGACAATCAAAGCATCAGATGTTCCTTCAATATGGATTGAGTGGATTCGTTGGAAAAGTGCAGAGTAGTTCAGGTAAAAGATTGGAAATGAGCGTCAAATGTTCTGTCGTTGGTTCAGGTCCACGGACGGGAGCTGCTGACTGTGGTTCTTTGGGGAGTGCGGCACTCGACGGAAGGAGTTCGACTCGATCGGGGTGGTCAGCGGTCAACAATGATTGACTGCCACATGTCAGCTCGTCTCGCGATCGTTCCTCACTCCTTTACGGGGACAGTTGACTAGGGGATATTCGATAAGTCGAACAGGCTGTACACTTGCCTTCAATGATTGAAATATACTGTTTTTTTTTTTGATCGAATTGATCAAACTCGTCAAAACATCACTTCTTTGCACTCATTCCATTGGAAAACTCGCCGCATTCGAGACCATGGTAGTACATATAAAACCGTGCTATTGATGGCGCTACCTCACGCGATATCCTCAGATCAAATCCAGGCAGAGTCATCTTGGGGAGCCTCTCGTCGGAGAGTCAGCTAGCTTGTACTCGGAGTCTTGTCAAATAGGACCGGTGGCTCGTGTCCTCGGAACTCACTGTTCAAGCTGAAAAAGCGTTCACTGCTTATAAGAGTTTTGAGTGGGAATATAATGCAAGTCACATTTTGACAGAAACGCCCACTTTTTTCATCGGGCCCTATGAATCGAATTATGGAAAAAAGATGTCGTCAAGGTTTGTGAGCCGCGCAAAACAGTGTTGTAAGCTTTGATTCTGCATTTTGTTGACTGCTGCCATTACGGAAGGAGGCGATGCGCAAGTTTCAAAAGGTTGGCGAGTTATGGGCGAAGTTTTGGACTCGGACGAAGCTCGAACCCGCGCGGCGCCCTAAAATGGTGATCGGAAAACCCTTCGCAGGCTTGCTGAAGGCAGATTTTTTATGTTAGTTTTGGAATGTGAATTCAATTAAATAATTGTGCAATCAAAGAGTATTTCTTATTTATTTATTTATTTATTTATTTATTTATTTATTTATTTATCCATCTATAGAATATTTTTCTCTGAAAATAACATTTATCTAGATAAGAAATAAGGATCGACTAATGTCAGACAGTGACCAGAATTCGTAAAAACCATTTCGTAATGCAACGCATATACGAGATTAAGATGAAACCTAAGCATGTATGTTGACTAAGTTATTTGTATAGTTGGCTATGAGCGGCTATCGATTGCTTTACAGTAATCCGCAGATAGCCTCCGTGCCACTTCATTCCCTCAGACCGGCAGGTATTACAAAATCCAGTCCTGGATACCATTTAACATAAGAGGATCAACAGAGAAAGTCCCTTACAGGTGGCTTATATCATGGACCAACAGTGTACATACAACCTACATCAAAGTGTTACTTGTCTTCTTTTTATAAAAAGCTGCAACCAAAACTCTTGGTTCGACGTCTACTCTTTTTTGTTTGAATCGGTACAACACTGAGGTAATTACATCGAGTACAAAAGAAATTTCCAGAAAACTTTATTCGTTGGACATACTAGGAACTCTCCTAAACCTGTACTCGCTAATCTTCGTCTGATGAGCCTGCACGAGTGCTCATGAGAGCCATTTTGCCAATCCAGATGTTCCCAAACAGGTGATGCATCCGCAACAATACGCAACCCAGTTGTCCCCAGATGTTGTCTGAGGAGTAATCCGTGAGTAATAACTCTTCGCGAGAGTTACTGCGAGAAATCGATGGGTGTGCAAAGAAAAGGCATACCGCTGCACCTCCTGCGGAAAGTAAACACCTAAATAACAGCTGGATGTCAGGCTAATGGTCGTCCTGGACATCGCGCACACATTGCGGGAGGTGGCATATTACGGTAGTGCTAAACGTGTTATTAATTCATTTGTGTCTTACGGTATCGTAACCTTATGAGGCATTTTTTTNTTTTTTTAACGGGCCACTTGGTATTTGACATCTGTTAAGGCGGTAAATATATTTATTAATGAAGCGGTTTGCAATGACCGAATTCGAGGAGATTCTTGGTTGCGCTGAACCCGATGAGCGCATCCATGGGTGAAAAACCGGTGCCGCACGAGCCGTCGATGATTGCTATAATTGGCTGTTGATGGAGAAGCCGAGTTGGAACGTGTGGTAAGGCATGTAGGAATCTGGTCGAGTGATGTTCCCGGTCTCTCGCATCGGCTCCGTCGACACCGGCGCCTGGCATGTCGAACTCAACTGCTTTCGAAGATCAGTGATCATCTGAAATTGCCATCTGAAGCCTCATAAGAGATTACTTAGTGACTATAAGTTGTGTTTTGATTTAGACGCAATGGAAATAGGTGGACAATTCGAACATAAATATTCGTTCTGGGCTTACAATACTAATAGGCGAATTCCTAGGAGAATAGTCGATTCAGAAAGATCTTAAAAAAGATTTCCCTAAAATTTAAGTGTTATGTGAAGAGCCCCATATAGAAGCTTTTCTGCACTCTCTAAATCCAGGCGCTTCCTTACACTATGTGTGTGGGTAACAGTTACTACAGTAATCAATCAAGGCTCATAGGTAGCAATCGGCAGTTTTGCTTTTTACATGAATCTAATTCTCCCTATTTCGGTGGGTGAAAGTCTCGGCTGTCTGAGTTATTCCGGTGAGCCCTTGTAGTAGGTTTCATTTCTCGACCGACTTTCAGGAAGGGAAAACGGAAGTCGGTGCTTATTCTCCTCCTGAAGACTAGACTGAAGCCCGTTGCAAGGGATTTTTAGTTGTGATATCTTTCCTGTCCTAGCCTAGCACTTCACAAAACGTCCACATCAAGAGTTTTCGTTTTCTGAATTCATCGGAAATTCTTAGTTCAGAATAGGCCAGGTCTAAACTGCTGTTGTATGTGACTTCACTCGATTTCAAATAGGTTAATTTAAAAAACCTTCGACGACCAATTTTTCCTGCAATCAAATTACTTCTCAAACACTCACTTCTCGTAATTGAACGATTTCGCTTTTCAGACTGTCATTTTCAGCTCGAAGCATCTCGGCAGTTTTCGTGAGCGATTCTTCCCGTTGTCGCCTACAATGAGTTATTTTTTCGTCAGCTGCACAGGATTCTTTCAGGTTTGAATTTTCAAATTTCAAAAAAGTTTATCGAAAAATTTTCGAGAATCTGCAGCTGTCAAGCTTTAGTTTTTG